CCTATGAAAAACAGCTTTCTTCGAGGTTAGCGAAATACACAAAAAATAAATCAACATTAAGAGCCTTAACTTCGAACCATTCTCCTAAAATACTTTTTCTAAACATTTATTCCAGATTGCAACTACCCCCATCTTTTTGAGTGTCAGAAATACAAATTTGTCGATGAAAATGTATTTTTATTAAGACAAAGTTTTTGAGTTTGAGTTCGTAACTTAAAATATCATCTGTATAAATTTAAGTTTAGTCCCTCCAAGCATTAAGATTAGTACGAGATGAGTACGTGAAAATCCTATCAATAGATAAAATGTAATTGGTCACTTTTTATTTCACTTGCTGTTCAATATTTTAATCTCTAGCTACCCCACCATCAATATGGATTTTTTACTACTGGTTTTTTTTAAGCTATTTTGAAGGGAACAGATCAGCAAAGGCTGTAATTGTGAACCTTGGTTTTACAGCAACAAACTCAGCTAAATTTTTTTTTCAATTTGTGACGTAGCAAATTTAACTGCTAACAGACCTTCAAGCGTAAGTGCAAATATTCGATTAATTCCAATATGATATCAAAAGATATCGTTATACATATCGAAGAGATATTGTGATTTTTTTTTCCTCACACAAGAACAAGCAGAACTCTTCACGTAACAAAACCGGTTTATACCATTTGAACCTTTTTTCTGGCCACGAAGATTTAGACAAATGTTTACATTGAAAACGAAACAGTCAAGAGACTCCACCAATCACGCAGTGTTTATTAATCTCATAGTAAGAGGTAAATGATTACACTGAGAACGAAGCACCATCCATCATGCATTTTTCATTAATTCTAAGAAAATCGAGACAAATGTTTACATTGAAAACGAAACAGTCAAAAGGCTCCACACATCTCGCATTGTTTATTAATCCGACGAAGATAGAGGCAAATGTTTACATTGAAAATGATCAAGAGGCTCCACTCATCACTCAGTTTATTAATCCTACGAAGATTGAGACAAATGTTTACATTGAGAACGAAGCAGTCTAGAGGCTCCACTCATCATGCATTATTTATTAATCCTACGAAGATAGAGGCAAATGTTAATATTGAAAACGAGACAGTCAAGAGATTCCACCCATCACGCATTGTTTACTAATCTCATAGTAAGAGGCAACTGATTACATTGAGAACAAAGCACCATCCATCATGCATTTTTCCTTAATTCCAAGAAAATCGAGACAAATGTTTACATTGAAAACGAAACAGTCAAAAGGCTCCACCCATCTCGCATTGTTTATTAATCCGACGAAGATAGAGGCAAATGTTTAAATTGAAACAGTCAAAAGCTCCACCTACTATTCAGTTTATTAATCCTACGAAGATTGAGGCAAATGTTTACATTGAGAACGAAGCAGTATAGAAGCTCCACCCATCACGTATTGTTTCTTAATCCAACGAAGATCGAAGAAAATGTTTATATTGAAAACGAAACAGTCAAAGGCTCCACGCATTATTTATTAATCATACGAAGAAGGAGGCGAATGTTTATATTGAAGACAAAACAGTCAAAAGGTTTGCGCAATTAATTAATCCCATGAAGATTGGAGACAAATATTTACATTGAGAACGAAGCAATATAGAGGTTTCATCCATCACAATATGTTTATTAATCCATCTCTTAAGTAAATGCTCTTGGATTCTTAAATTGAAAGTGACCCTGAATAAAGTACTAATATAAAACTTTAAATGCATTTTTTCAAAATTGAATTTCACATTTTAGAAAAAATGACTCAGAATGATAAGGCTTTTTTCCTCATGTTTATAAATCATCTGGGTAAAAGCGCTAAAAAAAAGTACATGACGTTACAAGAAAACAATGAATAAAAAAAATTATGGAACTTTTTGATCCTTATGATATTCATTTTTTTTTTATTTTATTTTATTTGCGAAGCCAAACATATTTTCTCCTTTTACTGTAATAGTAAAGAAATAGGGAGTGTTGAATTCTTATAAGGAGACTTTGAGAGCTATTAAACTTTTTCAGCCTGAAACATAAAGATAAAATTGAGTATAAAGATTGCAATTTCACGCTTGAAAAACTCTAAAGCGGACTGAAACTTCGATAACTTTTATTACATTCTATCTTAAAACATTGAGAGAATAGGCGAGTAGTTCATACTTCAATTATTGAAGCGAAAACTATTCAGAGCTAATCATTAACTTTTTTTTAAGAAAAAGAAAAATGTATTTCTCATCATTTTCCCCCCTACTGAAACCTAAAAAGAGCTCTAACACGCAATGGCAAATTTATATACAGAGAAAAAGTAACTTTCTGCCATTTATAGAATTAGCTGACTCATTATTTACAAGGTGTTCCGTAAGGGCTGGACTTAATGCAGGGTTATGATTAAAGTTACCTTAAATTGATCAGAACTGTTTTAGCTGAGGGATGCATATGAAACTTGTTATACATGTTATATGGACCATGGAAAAAAAAAATCTATTAAAAAAAAAGTTGCAATTTCAACGACCGCATGAAAAAAATTGCGTGCATAAAGAACAAAATATACAAAATAGAACGGCAAATTCTATTTAAACATATGTTCAATGCGTATTCCATTTCAGCCAAGCAAGTGTAATAGAATGATCCATAATATAGGGACAAGACATTTTTATTTTATTGCACAACATGGCACGTTATGCTTACTTTTAATCTAGTTTCATTGGAAAACAGCATGTGTCCTTTTCCTTCTCTTCTAACAAAGAGCGCCCCGCTGTAGACTGATCGTCAAGACACGGTTCTCAATGGAACACCGAGTCAAGTATCACTGGCTGTGGTCAGTGTGATGGTGGGTGATCACTTTGATCAGCCAGCAAAGGGACGGAGGGTGTGCGATATCGGTCCTCGTTAAACTGTTCTACCGTAAAGTGCTCGACTTCGCGCTCAGGTCGTCGGGCTACCGAAGCAGTCTAGCCACCCCCTCTGCGATGAATCAAAATTGTGATTGCATGTTTTCGGATCATCTTTAGAAATGTTTCCCAGACCGTCTCCAATGGCCCATTGTTGAGATCTAGTGCGACGTAAACCAACAACAACATCTAACAACAAATTTAGCAATCATTCTTTACAAAGCCGCAGTGGCTCAGGGGACAGAGCGCTCGTCTTCCAATGAGGTCACTCAGGTTCGATACTAGCGTTGGCTGGTCGATTCGAATTCTGCTTCTAGGTCACACAGACCACAATTCTGACATAAAATATTCCATGTGGTAGAATCCCTTTACTTCTGGACTAATTGTGGGATGTTTTCCTCTCGAAGTAACTCACATGCGGCAGGACCATCTTCACCAAACTTAATTTCATCAATAAGCAGTTTTGATGTATCACATGATATTCTGCATTAGTTAAACACATGTAAAATGAATGAGTATATGCAAGACTAAGTCACGTGAAAATAAAAACATGTGCATTTCTGCACAACTTGTACCTTAGTTTGTTTCAGCTTATCATTCTACACATGAAGAAATTTGCAAATCTTTTAATTTGCTTGATATTTCAGTTTCTTGGTGCCGATGTAAAAAAAAAAAAAAAAATCAACCGATTTTTACATAGGTGTTTGTAGATGGCACCAAGCTGCAATCAGAATGCCTTTTTATATGCATTTTCTTTTTTTTTAATTATTTATAAAGAGGTAATTAATTAAGCATAAAAATATTTAAAATACAATTAATGTAAGTAATTAAAGTAAAGATGGCTTATTCTATTATGTAATTAATATAAAGTCTATTTTTTATTTTTAAAAATTCGGTAAAAAAAAAAAAAAGATTTGTGAAACTATTTTTGATTAGTTCATTTTAGCCTACACATAAGTAGTTAATGATATGCATCCAAGTCATATTCAGAGAATTTGAATGACATTTTATATTGCTGAAAATGTTTTTAATATGGTGATAAAGTTTCAAATATGGCGTCATAATTTATTTTTCTTAATATTTCAGTTTTAATTATATGTAAAAATTTAACTAACTACACAGAATTTTTATGTTAAAGTACTTTTTTGAAAAATAATATCTGATGATTTATTTAAAAAAAAAAATCGATTTTATTTTTTAAAAAAAATTATTACATTTTAGTAATCTTGTAACTTAACTTAGCCACATTTTTTTTTAAGGAAAATCTTTAACTTTCAGACTTAATTACCTTAAACTCACCTTTGACCTTTTATCAGTTATAAATTCCCTTGTTAACAGAAAAACCTTATTTCACAAAAAAATAAGAGAACTGCTTTGTTTTATTTTTTGTATAGTTCTCTTATTTTTAAGAAAGGATACAAGCCTCAAAATCCCATTCTCATTTTTAACATCAAAACCAATATGTCGCATCATTAGAAATATTTTCAATTTCTTTGAAAATATCTATCATTTGCACATATATTCTACCCTTTATTGAGTTTCAAATAAAATAAAAGGTAGCATGAGGTATAATCTTCATCTAAAATTACAGGTTCTGCTTCTATTAGATGGAGTGTCATTGCTAGTCATATGCAATAAATAGAAAAAAAAGCGTTAAAGAAAAAACAGAGTAAGTGCAAAAAAAGATAATTTTTAATTTAAATGATATATAGGATGCTTTTTTTTTTTGTTATAGGAAATATAGTTTAAGCAAAATCTACCTTTTTCTTTAAGTCAATTGTAACTTTTTATTTGCCTTTAAATAAACATAACCCTACCAATAAAATTGAGTGCGTCATATTCAGATAAAAATAAATACCAAACCACAAGTAGAAAAAATACTTTAAAATTTATTTGCATAACAGTTTCTCCAGTTTCAACACAAAGGAAAAAAAATTTTTTTTTTCACTTATGCATTTAACAGAGAACAGGATGGAATAACTTTAGCTTTTATGTCTTTAATAAATAAATTTTCTATTACAAATAAAATATACGATTATTAGTATTAGAAAAAAATATTAATACCAATTTTAATTCTTTCAACAAAAAAACAACTTTTTTTGTATTAAAAAATTCATAAATGGATGGATTAAAATGAATTCGTTAGTAGTTTTATTTTAATGTACAAAATAATAATGTAAAAAATAAAAATTTATTCAATTTCAAACCAAGTTAAAGTTAACTTATTTAACCATGTCAGTTAACTAAGATAAAGGTAACCGTTTTTGCATAATTAAATTTTATTAATAAAAATTTACATGATTGATTAAACATTTTTGTTTTAAAATAATGGCATTTAACAGCGATGGCAGTTTTTTTTCCTGCATCAAGTTGCTTTTTAATGCTATTGTCCACATTATTACTAACTATATATATCCATCCAAATCACTGCTACTGAAACCAGAATAACCAGTCCTCCATTTCATCATTGTTGTCAATAATAGTTGCAATGTTAAATGCAATATTGTTGCCATAGAAAAATTTTGCAACCTTTGAGTCCAAATTTGATCTCTGGCTATTAGTAGTGGTTATTTAAAAATCCTTCATTGCTCTTTGTTGCTTAGCTTAATTCTTATTGTTAATTTATTTTCAATTTCTTTTTCTTACAATTTTTTCTTCAGTACTTTATGTTGGAGTTGTAGGTTCATTTTCATCTAACAAGGGAAGCTTCTTGCAGAATCTTTGTTTCATATATCTAAGTGATTTCTTATTTGTTTCTTTTTGGTGCTTATTTCTGTACTAGTGGTTACATTTAACTTTACAGCTTCCAACTGGCCATTCTGTAACTTCTTACCTCACTAGACAAACTTTTCTGTCACTTCCATCAGGTATTATAAAAGTTTTAAAATAAATTCGAATAATTTTAACGAGAATTTTGTTCTATCAGTTGAAACTGACCGACTGTTGCTAACAGCAATAACTTGTAAATAATCAAATATTCAAGAAAAATTCTTCATTCTTCTTAAAAAAAGGTCTTTGACAGTGATGTCAAAAATCCAATTTTTCCTTTTTTAAATGGATTCTGCTTAAAATCCTTAGAAGAATGAAATGAATGATAAGAGAAGAATGAAAATATGTTATTCCTCTCTTCTATATATTGTTATATCTATTCTTCTCTTCTGTCTATCAAACATGGGGATCTTCAGAATGAATTCTGGGTAAAGAAACCTTCCTGTATTGTATTTGTTGTTGCATTACTTTAGTACTGAGAAATAGATGAAGTCACAGATTGACTGTATGTGATTTAACGTTAATCTCAAACATATTGGTTCTGAAATTTTCAAAGTAAAATTAATTCTATAAATACATATTTTTTAAAAGTAAACCAAATAACCATTATGAAAATGGTTAAATATGCAGCAGTTCTGCAATAAATTTGCCTGCAAAAGGTTAATAGAATTTAACAAAAAATGAAACTATAATTTAAAATTTTTTATAAAAATATGAATTTAAAAAAAGCAAAAAACAAACGTAAAACCAAAAAAAAGCTATATACTTTTTTACCCTAATATTATGCTTTATCTCTGGTCAGAGAATATTAAATTCTTTAAAATATGTATTCAGAAAACTTTTATTAATGCAAGCAGAATACTGGCACTAGCATTTAACTTTTCAGGGATGCCCCACATAAAAAACCACAGGACTGTAAGTTATATATTGTAACTGTGCGGCAGAATATGATCAAACATCACTCTTGAACATTTTAATAAGCATGATATAAATAATAATAATCCGGTCATTAATTTAAAAAAAGAAATACTAACATTTGACTAATTCAGAACAGTAATAAAATAATGTGATTCTAAGAATTTATAGGGAAAGTAGTCTTAATTTCCCTATAACATTAAGCAATTATTAACAATTATGAATATTATAGATTCTTTAACATAAACAAAGCATGATAAACAATATAAGTTCACAATTATTTATTTAAATGGATCCATAAATTCAAGAACCTACTTGTAGTTTTATGAAAGTGGTTTACTTTTCTTGAGCTCTTCATCATCACCTGAAAGCATACATAGAAAGTAAATGAATAAAATAAAAATAAAACAAATTTTATTTTTATGAGAATAAACGTTTTTCGCCACATCACAAACTAAGTTTAAGATACAATTTTATAAAATGTTAAATTATCACTGGAAATCAACTAAGCAATTCAAATAGTTCTGACACCAATGGGAAAAAATAATATCGAAAAACACAAAATTTATATATTTTGCTTATAAATGACTTATAGACATGCCAGAGAAAATAAGAATATAATATTTCTCAAGAATGTAACATTATATCACATAACTTTATTCAAGATATTACAAATAAATTACATTTTCAGCTACAAATATGCACTGATGCATTGTAAGTCATGGGATACAGGTGAGATCCTCTCCTTACAGGTGAAACACATCAACATGATGTGGAATAAACTCGAAAAGTTTTCAAAAGCTGTTTAAAGAAATACTAAGCCATGCAGACTCAACAGCCTTTCATAACTGCTCACGTGTTGTGCCAGCAGTATTATATGTAATTGGAAATGTTTCCATTATATCTTAAATATGTACAATGATTCTTGTCAAGCAATTTAGACAGCTAAGTCTGTTGCCTTAATTCGTCAAATTAACAATGAATCATTAGGGCAGACATACCAATCACAGAAATTCATAATCCTGAGAGTTTTGGTGATCATAGCTGAGTGCAATAAGCAAAATACAATAATAAAGATTAAAAGAAAAAAACATTTCACCTTACAAGAGTAATTCCGTTATATTAGGTTTATCTAAGTAACTTTTTTACTCCTAATAATAATCAAATAATAAATTAATATATATATTTTTTAAAACAGAAGGAGTAATTTTGCATTTTTTAAAAACCTTACATAAAATTTTTTTGAAACTCTAATCTGCTCCTGGATAATCTGAGTGAACCCAGTATAAATTCTCTAAATTTGTTATGACAAGGAAGAACAACATTAAATGGTTTTTTTTGTTACATGGCTGAATATTCCTTCACAGATAGCAAAGGAGTGGTTAAAAACAACAGCTTTAACTTAACACAATTTGAGTTCATAACAGAATATACCTTTCCTGTTACAAACCATTTTGTATTGACTTCACTCCATTTTAAAAAAACAGATCCCATCAAAAGAATGAACAATTTTTGAAATGTCTTCGCACACACTGTTTCGTGCAAATAAGTTCCTAGATTATTAAGAAACAAGCTTTGAAAAAAAAAAAAAAAAAAACGAGCTTCATAAAAACTACCAATAAAAAAATTGGAGTGAGGAGAATGAAACAATATTACTTAAATATCAGAGTCTGCTGTTTTTGAATAAATTAAGGTATCACTCTTAAAGCAGAAATGATAAAGATACATTTTGTTAAAAATGGCAGCATACTTTTTCTGGTTTCTTAGACACAATAAAATGGAATTAACAAAAAACCAAACTCAAACTAAATAATTGTTAATATGGAGGAAAGTGTGCAATGCAAAGTGCACTTGGATTTGCAGATTCATGCAATCATTTAGGGAAAAACCTTAGACAATACTTTGTTAGTGTGAAGTTCTGAGATTTTATAGAAAAGTCAAGAATTAAGCTACATGTCTGTATTATTTCTAAACATCTGCGGTTCAACAAAGTTGTTATTTCGTTAGCGTAGCTTAACAAAGAAGAATCAAGTTAGTGTCTGCTGAAATACGCCAATCGTAAGTTTACAGTGTATCAAGGTACATTGGTATCTCTTGACATTCACAACACTATGCACATGTAGTTTGTCTCGGACAATTAAGACATAAGATCCACCTTGCATGGTAGGAAGATAAGGTATGCCTGACACTCTTTAAGCAATTGCTCAAAAAATGATGAACTGATGCCATGCCTTTTTACGAACTACTGTTTCATCAGTTGCAGAATTAGCAAACCATGGCAGTGGGCACTGCAGACTTATTTCGACCTAGTTGACAAAATAGACCCAACTTCCTTAAAAAAAATTGTTTTTACATAAAAAATTGAGTTAAATCAAAATCTACTCAAATATTTTTCTTTGGCATTATTTTTTTTTTCCATTGTAGAGCTTAGTTAACACACTACAGCAGGTTTTTTAAGAAAAATTGTAAGAGTAATTAGTTCAAGAAATTGGAAAATTTTATAGTTTTTATAACACTGTTTGAAATTATTCTTTTTCAAATGAAAATTTGAAGCATCTCAACTGGGATTCAGAGTCGGTAAAATTTTCAGTGTGAGCACATAATTACATAAAATAACATTTCATTTGAATTACTAGAATCCTGACTCAAAAAATGTACCGTCTACATAAGCCTTCTTACTAATATGTAATCAATAAGCTAAGCAATATTAACACAATATACGTCTTTGCAGACTGTTTATTAGGTCAGTGCATTTTTATGTTTTATAATAAAAAATTTCGTTTTTTAAAAAAACAATTTTCACTTAATGGATGCAAAATATCAGTATAACTAATGAGCGAAATTTCGGCCACTTTTTCTTATTGAAGAAATGTCTACTTGTTTTATTAATATCTTATTCTTCTTTTTATCTGGAAGTAATATGAAACAGAAGCAAAACATACATCAAATGTAGTCATCGATTTTTTTTGTACCGTAAACATAATCTTGTTAAATTCAAATAAATATAAATTAAATGTATAGTTATTACAAATTAGTTAATTATATCAATTGTCAAATTTTCCTAAAACAATTTATGGCGCTAGCTTTCATTATTAGTATACCCATCTTGTAATCAGACAATATTTTCAGTCTCAAGTGTGTTCACCTAACTGCGATTTCACTTATGAATATTTTTGTGCATAAATCTAGAGATATCAGAATTTCTTCAAAAAAATTTATTTTCTTTCAAAGAAAATACATAGGCAATCATTCTAAATAATTGATTACCATAAATAATAACACAAATAAAAATGAAGCTTTATTTACTTTTAATTCACTAATAAAAAAAAAAGTCATAAATTTCAGTTCACTAAGATTTATTTGAATGAATATTGCATTTAGTTTTTTTTATTTCATCATACATATAATTAATAACCCTCAGATGAATGTTTGTGGGAAATAAAAAGAAACTTAATTTGAACTACTTCTAATGTTGACCATTATGCTACCTCAAGAAATCAAATAAAAAGACATTTAAAATTTTATAAAAGTTTTTTAATGCAATTACGAATGAATAAATTTAAACAATTAAGAAAATGAAAAAAAAAATAATACCAAAAAAAAAACAAGTTTTCCTAGGCACTGGATTGCAGAATACTCCAAATTTTATTCTAATCAATACTACCACTGATATTGTACTTTTGGTCAAATATTTTTAATCATTCTGAAAAATAATAAAATAAGCTACATGACAATAATGAAACACACTTAAATACATAAAAATAAAGAGAAGAATTTTAATACTTCATTCAAACAATAAGTTCCTCACAACATAATGAAATAAATTTAATTTGCGATAATTTGTATGATGCAGTTTCTGCAAGTTTAATTTTTTTATACTGGAGAACTCAACATCTTAAATGCTAGTAAATCTTCTTACTAACAAGACAGCTTTTCTTTTAAATATTTAAACCAATTAGCATGATTTTTATGGAATTGTAACAAAGAATCTACTGAGCTTCGGATTTAAAAAAAAAGAATTGTTTTTTTTTATTGCAGAAAAATAGAAAATACTTTTTAAAATATCGCTCTAACTTAGAGAATATAGAGAAGTATACACTTCTGTATTATTCATCCTCTTGAATTTTAGAAAAACTGACACAGGTTATGCAATTCGTAATCTCGGTCAAGATTTAATTTAAATGTTAAAAATTGTTTATAATATCTAGAACAAATATAGTGGAAATAATTATTGCAGAATATTAATTGAATTTCGAAATAAATTACTTATATATAATTCAAAAAAATGGATGAACTTTTAGAATGAAAATTTACTACAAAAAAGTAACAATATTTAGGTAATATTAATGATATAATGTAAAAATCATAGTTTAACACACGTCAATCAGAAGAAAAAGACATGTCAATCAAAGTAAAAAGAAAATGAGATAAGGATTCGTTTTTCAATAAGGATGATTATCGAAAAACGAAAATGAACATATTTTTCACTTGTATAGCAAAAACGTTATACAAGTTTAATTGTGTAACAAAACTAATCATTCAAGATTTACTCCTATAATAATTAACATAAAATGTGTCAATTAATAAAAACAAATCACATAGTGTTGACAATGAAGATCATTAGATTCAATAAAATCCCAATTTAATTTAAATAACATTTTAACAAAATAATATATATTGGTATCTTACGCAAAAAAATATCAAAAGAAAAATATCCATTATGAAACACATGCTGTGTGTGTGTGAATAGAAGTATAATTAAAAACATTTATCAAAGGAAATAATTTTGTTTAAAAGTTCATAAATAGTTAGCAGCTTATAATAAATGCTTATTGCTCAAAAATCATAAAAATTATGCTAATTAAAAATTGTATGCATACATATTAAAAATATATAAGAATATATACAGTACAGAACCCGTTATCCGGAAATCAGAAAACCAAAAAACCGGAACGAAATTCGAGAAATTTTCCTGCCATTTTCTTAAAAAAAATTTTTTTTCTTCATAAGATTTTAGGATTTTTCTTTCTTTTTTGAAAGATGTTTACCTTACCATCACTTTGGAAATAATCATTAGTGTATTACTTTATTGTTTTTTCTTCTTTTTAAGATTAAAAAATCTAGATCTTTTTAAGATTTTCATAAATTTTTTTTTTTTAGTTGGGTTTAACAATAAAAAAAACGGCTTTTTGTAGTGATTCAGAAAACCGGAAAAATCAGTTATCCAGAATAGCGATGGTCCCGATCGTTCTGGATAATCGGTTCCCTACTGTATTAAAAATCTATAGGTATATATTTTTTATTTTATTACCGACCATTTAGTTAATTGTGAAAACAACAATTAACTAACCAGCTTTAGCAACAAAAAAATTTTATAAATAAATAAAAATTTTGTCTACCCTGTAATACTAATTTGTTTTTTTATTGTTACAACAACTATTTACTCAATATAATCTTTTTCTTCAATACAACCTATTTCTTCTATACAAAAATAACAATGAAAAGTGGAAAAAAAAAAACTCTCGTAAAAAGCTTAGAAATCTTCTATCAGAGTATTAGTTAATGGCGGGTCCAATAAAGTGCAACTAAGAAACTGCTGGTTATAAAATAATGGAGAAATTATTGAGAAAACTTCCGTATTGTGATCTGCGACAGGATAATCCAGAGTCACGGCAACTTTCGGGCAACAATCCACAAGAAACTGTAAAAAATATCACAGAAGGGGTCCAACTCGACTTCTGCAAGGTTTATTTAAAAAAAAGCTTGCAAGTTTAAAACTCATTTCGACGGAGCTTTGCCAAGTCTGGAAAATAGATTTTTCCAGATAATGGTTCTTTAAAGTAAGCAAACATCAAAACACACTTATTCAAAACATTATTAAAAAAACAAACAGAGGATAAATAATGCAACTTCATTCAACAGCATATAAAAAATCATGTGGCTTGTCAATCGAAATTTCGGCAGCTATTGTTGCAGATTTCCACGTGGTTTTTGAAATCTTTTATTTAAATCATTAATATTTATCGCACCATGCTGCAAATTCCAAACCAAGCATCTAATTTAATTATCTCTTGATGCACTCAATTAGAGGCGTGTCCATCCTAAATCTATGAGGGTTTCTTAATAATTTTTTTTGATTTATTACATGGTTTTTAAAATTGAAATGTTTTAATACAATATTATTTTGTTTGTTGGACTCATTTGAAGAATCACTATTTTAAGCACTCAACTATTGGATTTACAATTGCACTTTTGCCATAGATTTTCATAGAGTTTAGATGATTTTTTAATGCTACATTATCACAGGCGGTAAATTTCAAATGGCCCATTAGTAGAATCATTTTATTATGTGCAGGATTACTTACGATTTACCCGTAAAATCATGTGGTGTATCAATCGCATTTTCGTAATAGCTACGGATTTTCACAAGATTTTTTAATACTACAATGCTTGGTACTTAAATTTTTGAATCATACATGTGAAGAAATCTCTTTTTGAAGCATTGGATTCGTAACGATTTTGCATTTTTATCGATCGTCTTTTCAACAGTTTTGGATATCCACATAGTTTTTGAAATTTTAAATTCTCCTTGATAGACAAATATCATTACTATCTGCACATTTCAAATCAGGCTTTTAACTAATCACTTTATGACATGTTCTAGTCATGACAATTTCATTTCAAATACCCAAAATTTTCAAAATGTCAGAGTTTAGGGTGGTCTGAAACTGAGAGTGTGGTTCTTGGCTTTAGTAATCTTTTTATGCAAAACTAGAGGGAAAGAACTGATTTTTTTCACACTGTAATGAAATGCCTCCAAAATCACAAAACTCAGAATTTCGTTTAAGTGATAATAAAACTTTTATAAAAATCATATTTTAGCAGAAATCGGATTAAAATCAAACAAAAATCTGAAATCGACTAAAAACCATACAAAAGTAGATCCCTCTCCCTTTACAGTTTTTCTTTAACATCACAAGTGTAAAAAAAAAAAAAAAAAAAAAATTGTAAAGGGGAACAAGTTTTGATAGTTGTAAAATGCATTTCGAAAATAGATCTTTCCGGTAAACGGATGTCTGGATATGATACTTTGCACTGTAGTAACAAACTTGACAATTAAAACTAGTTTTTTCTAATATTTCTTAACAGGTTCATGCTAATAAACAATTACAAACAAAAAAAAAAAATAAATAAATGAAAACCAAAAATTATAAATGCTGTTAATACCAATAAGATCAGGGTCCAATTAGTTTCTTTCCAAGTAACCCTTGGCCTATTTGGAAGATTTGATTCCATTTCATTTAAAAGATTGTACAATACACAAAAGTTTTTAAGATAAAACTTCTGAAAATAAATAAGAGTGATCACAAGAATTTCTTAGGAGATGGTTGTTCTTCATTATTCTGTTGGGTATTTGCCACAGGTTTAATAATTGGAAAAGACAAAACTTCTTTAATGTTCCATGTATTGGAAAGAATCATAAGAAGTCTGTCGATCCCTATTCCTGCACCAGCACAGGGTTTTAGCCCATGTTCAACAGCCTCACAAAAATCTTCATCAATAAGTTGAGCTTCATTATCACCAGCAAATCTGTCTAGGGCCTGTTGCTTAAATCTCTGCCTCAAGACAACAGGGTCATTCTCTTCGCTATATGCATTGACTATTTCAGATTTGGCAATAAAAAGTTCCCATCTTTCAGTGAGCCCTGAAATACTACGATGACACTTGGCAAGAGGACTCATTATCTCCGGGTAATCATAAAGAAAAGTAGGATTGATAAGTTTTTTTTCAAGAAAATGTCCAATCAGTTTATCCAGCAGCCTCTTACTTGTTCTTGGAGCTGCACACTCAATGTTATATTTGGAGCAAAGATAAGACAATCTTTTATTGGCTTCAGGCAAGTGATATTCACATGGTTTGGGCAGTTCTTCTCCCATTGCTTCTTGCAAAGAAGGAAGTAATGGGTACTTTTTAAAAGGGAGGGCGAAATCAATTTCTAATTCCTTACCTTCAAAACCATCAGGCTTATATATTATCTTATTAGACTTACAAATATCATTAACCATTTCAGAAAATAAGTTCTCTATCATCTTCATAAAATCATTATAATCTTTATATGCTTCATACATTTCGCAAGTGGTAAATTCTGGATTATGAGTCGAATCTATTCCCTCATTTCGAAAATTTCGTACACACGATCAGGCCTACCTATAAGAGTCTCCTTTAGTTTGAGTTCTGGAGCGATTCGCAAATATAAATCCATGTTTAGATGATTGTGATGAGTCATAAACGGTTTAGCAGTTGCTCCTCCCGGTTTTGTATGCATCATCGAAGTCTCCACTTCAATGAAGCCCCGCTGATCCAAAAAAGAACGTATAAATTTGTTGACTTTAGCTCTAAGAATGAGTCGTTGATATGTTGAATCATTGAAAATAAAATCTAAAAATCTCTTCCTAAATCGAGTCTCTTTATCCTTCAGCCCGTAATACGGATGTGGTAACATTTGAAGAGAGGGTGCCAAGATCTCCATATGGGTAGGTACAATACTTAGTTCTCCTCTTTCGGTTTTGCATGGATGTCCTGAACATCCTATAATATCTCCTCTTCGCATTCTATTATTTATTTCACAAAATTCTTTTTTATTAGGATAATGATTTGCGTCAGCCATAACTTGAATCTCAGCCTTTTCTCCTACAAGGTCATAAAAAACCAAATTAGATCCGAATTCTCGTTTAGTTAGAATACGGCCAACCACTGATACATTCACATCCTTTAATATTTGACCAATATCGAGTTTCTTATACCGATCTACGAAGTCTTCTAAGGATATTGAAACATTGAATTTGTTTAGATACGGATTTTTACCAGCAGCTTTTAACTCTTCAACTACTTGGCTGCGCATTTTAAAATATTCAGCACTATCAGTAGGATCTTGTTTTGTAACAATGCACTTCGAATCTGTTATGGGCTGTTGAGTTATTGGTTTTTCTGTTTCAACTTTTTTTTTACTTTTAAAAAAATGTTTGAGTTCCTTTTCAGGCAAAGTAGTTGAAAAATTAAGTGAATTGATTTGTAAAAGAAACAGATTCCCCTGCAATTTCGGAAAATCAAAAAGTTTACTTCGACGAAATAACAGCAACGCACGATTTGCCATGACAGGTTGAAAAAAAATTGCTATAAAAATATAATATTAAGATGACTTGCATCAAATTAAGCAAATTAAGATGAATTGCATCAGATTAATCCATAGAAAAAAGAAACTACCGCCAGAAAAAGTAAACATAAGTCGAAGTTAAAGTAGCTATGTTCAGTAATATCTTTATCACAAAACAATAATTTTTTTTGTCGCTAATTAAAGAGACAAATTTTAAATATTAAAATTTAATAGTAATAACATAGTGATAAGATAAATTTTTAACACAGTCAAAAAGTGAAGAATAAAAATATGTTATTTCCTTCCATTTGAGCTTTAAGCTGGTGTAGCGACATCCAAAAGAATTAGCAAATGGGAGTCAATCCAAATGATTTTGATCTAATGTCATGATTTGCATCCTTCAGAATTGGCAAATCATTCGAATAATAAAAGCAGCAAGTTTTTATTTGAGTTATTTATTTTATTTTGTCACTATTCTGAATATTACTCAATTACAAAAATTATAGTTAACTTTTATTTAATGTACGAAAAAAACGAGTTCATTTCTTTCACCATTTCCGTTACTTTTCCTTTACCAATGCAAAGGGAATGACCATGATCCCAAGGTGTAAGGATGCTTGCGACAAACTTCCCTATTGCATGTCAATAAAATAAAAAAGACCGTTGAAAAGGAATATAATGATAAAAACCTAAATCTGTGTTTTAAATTCATTTTTTTAAATATCTAAATGAGAACAAAATTATGGTGAAGCAAAAAATGTATTATTTTAAACAGAAAAATTCCTCGTTTTTTAGTAAATGTTAAGAATATTTTCAAATTTTAATAACATAAAACTCCATTATTAAATTTGTTCGAAAAATAAATTTTTATTTTTCATAAGCTATTAAAAGTGGAATTTTATAATAAATTAAGAGGCTCCATCCCTGTTCATACTCCGCGTCTGTTTGATAACTTTGTCACTTAAAAAAGTTGAAACCGTAACATTACCCATTGAAAAAATGGGTTTTGCTTTGGATTTGATGGCGTCATCACACTTTTCAACTACAATAATCAAGAGTAATAGTAAATAGTGCGCATGCGTCGTCATTGCATGCGTTGCTATGGCGACAGCAGCTGTTTGATAATTTTTTCAAAATACTTTTTTTCACTTTAAATTTTGTTATGATCACTTTCTTTTCGATTATTATGATTTGTATATGACAGATTATTACGGTTGTTATGATTTGTTATGATAATTTTGTTTTAATTACTTTTAAGTTGGTGAGTTTGTTTTTGTGATATGAGATCAGAGAGATCCCAAAAGTACTTATTGAGTTGTGAATAAAGGAGAATTTTATCAGTTGAACGATACTTTTGTTTTTATTGTTTTAATTAAGAAACAGAAATTCTAACCTACAGTTAAAACTGGATCGTTTTCAATACTAATTCTGGTGAATATCACAAATAAAGAGGGTACAAACTGATTGACACGGTCCCAAAAGTTAGAGTTGAGGCAAGAAAAAAAAATAAATAACAAGACCTATAAACTTACCGAGGCTGAAAAAGCCAACGAACATAAACGAGAATGCCTTAATCTAAGACTCTGTTCGCAAATGCAAGAATGAAGCCTGTCTCTCACTAAGGTACCAAAGTGGTTGATAGAATTGAACCCTACCGAAGTGCGAATGGTCGCTCTCCGAACCTCTTTTGTGCAAATACGAGAACTGGATGTTGATCATCAGTTTGGGATAAAAGAATGCATTGTCAAAGTATCGAATGACTTGCACAAGACCGTAGACTGTCTTCCACGCAATATAAATGATTCATTTATTATTCATGTAAAATTGAAAAAAAAAAGCCTAGCTTTCAAATCATATTTCATGTATGAGCTTGTGAATCAGAAACGAATTGCTACTCATTTTCATTGCTTCCGAAAGCGTTGATCTTTTGGCCACGGAAAACAATTAAGTTTTTGTTAATAAAGTACAATTAGAAACCAAAGAAAATTTTGTTTATAAAATGTATTTATTAAGCAAATAATATTTTGTTAGTAGTAATTTCGTAATGAACCACTTGCAATTTTCAGTAAATGTTGTTCATCCTTCATGGTTGCCGTATCTTACATGTAATTTTGAATTCGATTTGAAAGATAAACACTGCTTTAGTGACTTTTCGATGATATTGATAACACTTGAGATTTTAAACAGGAACTTCATGTTACGAGGAGTTGCAAACTAAAAGAAAATTTCTTTCTTTTTTCAACGGCCAAAGATTGTAACTTCCAATTTAACTACCACGATGGCTTTCACACTTTGGTCACCTGATTACCTACGAAATCGAAAACTTTACGGCAGATGGTCTGGGAAAGATCCCTGATTACGATCCGGGAACAACATGCATACGTCCCATCCCGTTTTACAAGAAAGACACATTCACACACCATCCATGCATTCACAGATTGCAAATTTGACCTGAACCAGAGCACGATCAATCTCCAATCCAATACCTCCAGAGTAATTGATTCGTTATGGGAGGTTGGAGTACTTTGTGATCCTGGCAGATTTAGTGAGCATCAGTCACAATTTTTTACAAGGTGAGTCTTAAACCGACGGGTATCGAACTCACGACCCCTTGGACATAGGCCCGAAGCCCCACCAGCCAGACTTTCCCGGCTCTGTGTTTTTTCATGCATATTAAAATTTTTCATCTATAATAGCGCAAATTTATACTATCGTTAAAAAAATCCAGATACTCAATTACATGCAATTACTTGCTTTTTTTTTAAAATATAAGTGCGAAATCTAGGTACTTACTTCACTTTTTTTGCAAAATTTCTTTATTTTTCAAAAGAAAAATTTCCTTCCTTGTAACACTTTCTATTTTATACTGCATCTTCGCTCTTTGTAGCACTTTTTATTTTATATTACATTCTTCGCTCTTTGTAACACTTTTTACTTATTATTACGAAAAGTCTGTCGATTTGTTATTTGTTACGGTAATTGATAAATAGCGTATTTATTTCGGTCGATTTGTGACTTTTGCTTTTTTTTCAATTTTATTTTATTTATTGCTACACAAACATTTATGATCTTGTGTGTTCCTTAAAATGAACTACTTATAAGCTCTCTTCAAGTTGAAGAACAGAAGTTTAAAAAGAACATTACTAAGGTTACTGCTGTGGGAATCGAACTCGCTATCTCTTTGCTATAGGTCATTTAACGGAACGGCGAGACCATTCGATCAGGGAACCACATTGTCCTTCTATACTTCGTGCTATTCGTTCTGCTGCAACTGGACATGACTTATTACAAATACTGGTATTTTTCTTAATTTCTCTTGATTGAATATTATAAGTAGCTAAAATTTCTCAAATTAAATAGGTAAAATCGAAAGTTAATAATTTTTTATAGGACTATAAGTATTGATTAGGCTTTTTACGTTTAGCCACGAGTTAAAATGATTTTCAAATAACTTTTCAGTTGATAATAAAGCTTTTCAGCAAACTACAAAAAAATCTTTTATTTTGTTCGAATAAATACGTGAATTTCTTAAAGAGCTGTTTCATTGTTGTTGTTGTTAATTTACGTCGCACTAGAGCTGCACAATGGGCTATTGGCGACGGTCTGGGAAACATCCCGGAGGATGATCCGAAGACATGCCATCACAATTTTGATCCTCTGCGGAGGGGAGGGCACCCCCGCTTCGGTAGCCCGACGACCTGCGCGCGAAGTCGAGCACTTTACGGTAGCACAGTTTAACGAGGACCAATACCGCACACCCTCGGTCCCTACGCAGACTGATCCAAGTGGTCACCCACCCGCACACTGACCGCAGCCAGTGATGCTTGACTTCGGTGATCTGCTGGGAACCGTGTCTTATCGATCAGTCCACTGCGGGACAAAGAGCTGTTTCATACTGGACTCATCGTAAAGAAATGTTTCTCAGTAGAACACCTGAAGTCAAGCATCACTAGCAAAGCAACTGTCAGTGAGCGGGTGGATGATTACTATGATCAGCCTGTGAAGGGACCTAGAGTGTGCGGAATAGGTCTTCGTTAAACTGTTATACCGTAAAGTGTTCGATTTCGCAGGTAGTCAAGTAACCAAAGTGTGAGAACCATCCCTATCTGCAGAGGATCGAAATTATGTTTGTATGTCTTCAGATCATACTAAGGGATGTTTCACAGACCGTCATCAATAGCCCACTGCGCAGCACTAGTGTAACGGAAATAAAGCGCTACTATAACCTTAAAGAGCGTATTTTTAGGTGCCAATGCTGTAGCCATCTCAATTGATTGAGGTGCATAAAGGTTTAATTTGCTTAGTGTTTTTTTCTAGTCATTTCTAATCTCTAATATTCTTTAGTAATTTTGTTGCACAAACCTGTGATCTCTCAGTGGAAAATCTTATTTTCCATATAAGGTGTGGAGGCTGAGATAGCCTAGCTGGTAGCGTGTTGGACACATGTCCGAAAGATCATGAGTTTGATTCCCGTCGGCCGAAGACTTCCCGTGTTCCAAAATGGTGACTGGTATACGCTAAATCTGTCGGGGTCACAAAGTCCTAAAAGTTTCCATAACAAATAAATACTTCTAGGGGTGCTGGATTGGAGATTGCTCATGCTCTGGTTCAGGTCATAATTACGATCTGCGGATGGATGGTGTGTGAATGTGTCCTCATTGTAAAATGGTATCTGGCGTCTGTATGTTGTCTCCAGATCATAATGAGTGATCTTTCTCAGACCATTGCCGATAAGCCATTGTACAGTCCTAGTGCGATGTAAATAAAAGTACCGTATTTTATTGACTTTGATACACAAACCTGTGATCTCTCTGTTCAAAATCTAATTTTCTGGACCCGCTGAAATTTATGTATTCAAAACTACAACTTTCATTGTTCTTGAGTATATAAGTTTTCCTAAATGCTGCGGATTTTGCGTTTGTAGTTTTATTGTGCTTGAAAGTGTCAATTCTCGGAAGTATGGTTAGGTACGAAAATGTTTCTTTTTTATAAATTGTTTCAGATATTGTTATTGGATATCTCAAAATAATTGTGAAAATAAGATGTGTACACCGTAAAATTTTATTTTACGATTTAAAAGTGTGTCCATCTTTTTAGCGATAGTTAATTCACTTTTTCTGGGGATATGTTTACCAAGGGAAAAAAGTGGCCTCACAGTGATTTCTCGTATTTTCATTTTTCCCCTGTTTGACTTAAATGTTTTTTATCATGTTTCCTTTTGAGTACATAATGCATTTTTTTAGTTGTATTATAACAGATTCAAAAACGTATCAATATATTTAAACTAGAATTTTCATTTTAAATGAACAATCTTAATCCTTATTCAAATTTTAAGAAAAAAGAATCCTAATTCCTTATTTTGATGTATTTAATTGAACAATTCTGCTAGCAAGGCTTCTCTGCGTATGTTAGATACTTATCGAGATGTTGCTTGAAATGTAATTAAGTTATTTTTAATTGAAAACCTACATCAAACCTTCATTTTTTGGTTTGTAGTATACAGTTTGGTAGAGGTGCCTCGTGGAGTATAATTGATCAATATGCTTTAAAATTTGATAAGAATATTACGACGAGTAACAAATTATTTTCCAACTAAAAGTTTATCTTCAGATTCTAATATCTTATTTTGTATTGACCCTTACATATCTCTAATTCAGTTTTCAAATTCTTCGGAGTTTGGGATTTGTGAGGCTTAGTTACTAGCTAACTAAAAATAAAGTTCTATTATTTACAAGGAGTATTGCTTAAATAAGTATTTGTTCAAGTGATATACATAATTATTTGAAGAGAAATATTACTAAAATAAAACTAAAGGCAGTTACAGAAAATAAAGCACTTCCAAACTCATTAAATTTCAACTTTTTGAGCGCTGTTTTGAACTTTTGAGGTTAATAAAGTCCAAAATGCAAAAAAATTTCAGAATAAAATGGAAATAAGAATAAAATGGAGACATTTTTGATAGGATCGTATCATTGTCACACAGTCTAACTTCTCCAAGAAATTTACGATTTTTTTCTAATAAAATATTTAACTATAAGTGCGTGCATTCCTCTGTAATTGATATACAATTATTAATTATTTGATATATTTAGAAATCATCTTTTAGTCATTAATTCTAAGTTTATTTATCTAAGTTGCAAAATTAATTATAAAGGTTATGCAAAATAACTTAATATCTTTAGTAATTTTTTAGTTTATGGACATTAAAAAATGTCTAATAACATGCTGGGGATATACTTGGCAATTCCCTATAATGGATTAGCACAAATTCATATTTGGTGCAAATATAAAGTATATTTTTTAAACCATGTTATCAGATATAATTTTAAACTAATTACTTCAAATACTAGACATAAAAAATAGATTTTGAAATTAACATTTATTTAGTGGAATAATATTTTCCTAGGATTCAACGCAAAGTTTAAGAGTATAATTTTGAGTTTGAGTCACTCTCAGTAAAACCCAGTCTACCATTTTACACTAAATCACACAGCTCTGTAACTAAGGTATCAAAATGTATTAAATTGAGTAGAGGGAATAATAGAACATTTTATTGAAATTTTTTTACAAGCATTAATTTATAAATATTGGGCCATAGTCCATACTATGATGATCCCATCAACGGGAAATTTTTCCAGCACGTAATTTAAATTATATGAAACTCTGACTAGCAATCTTAATGAATAAATGTTTCGACTAGATTTTTATTAAATACCTGTTTTTAAGAGCATTTTTAAAGCTCTTTTTGCCTATTAAAGACTTATTTCTAAAAATTAAAATTGTAAAAATACTTAAGAATTTGTAATTCCAAAGATTATGTCTGTAAATAAGAATTCCGTTTGCTAATTGGTGAACTTCCATCATTTAGTCTAATATCAGTAAAAATCGGATAAAATTCTAGGACACTGAATTTTTAAAAAATTTCTCTTTAGAACTGCTTTGATTTGAAACTTATGATCATGAAGTCGTGCTTTTTAAGTCACGGGCTGTAGTTTCAAGTCTTTGGTTCTTATTTGCATATGCATTGAAAAATTTATGCAAATTTGAATTGATTCAAGGACTGTTTTGAAGTTCAGTTTTCAATTATGGGGTATTCTACTTCCAGATTGCAAGTTTTATTAATCTCTGATTATCTTATGACTTTAATGCAAAGAAGCAGATTTCTAAGAATATTTTGCAGCTACTTTAAGTTTAATTTGAAATGGTAGAATTTCGTGTAGCATATTTTTAATAACCTTGTTTTTTCTCACTCATTCATAAAGTTTAAGGCTTAGAGGTTTGAGGGGATCTGGAATAAATTATGAACTAGCTTTTGAACATCTTATTGATAGAAAATATAGCAGTAAGTTAATAACTTTATATCAGTTACTTTGCTTATTATATGGAATAACTACAACTAGGTTAAATATTCATAGAAATAAGAAAAAAAAGTTCATAAAAATGTCTATAGGTATTCTTATTGTAACTGTAAAAATTAAATGGATTAAAGATTTAAAATTTTTTAAAATTCTTGCATGTGTAGCATAAAGGACTACTTTAACTGATCATATCTTTGGAAATTTTTAACATATTTTTAATTTTAAAATATTCTTACTACTAAAAAAGTCTTAAATTTCTATCCAATATTTTCAGAGTATTGTAAGAAAACGAGAGGATAAAAAGTTTTTATGAAAATTCATATAAGTTAGGCCTATTAATTCTCATGCAGTTATTGCGTATAACGAAAGCAATCTCTGAAAGTTAAGAGCTTATTACTATATTTTCTGGCATAGGGTGTTCAAAAAGTTTTCGTTCGTAATTTATAGCAGCTTATCGTAATTTATTCGTGTTTAGTTAACTCGTGAAAGAATGATAATCTGTATTGAGTCCCTATACTTTTTCCTTTTCAACTTTTCCACCATAATTTAAATTAAGCATCTTGACAATTTGTGGGAAAATTGAATGTTCAAAACACAATGTATAGTTTAACATTTCTATTTTTAGCAATGTTTTAAACAGTTCTATCTTCATGTTTTAATTTTGTATTCATTCTTTTAAATTACTCTATATTGGGGATAACTAATGCAACAATCTTTTCATGCAACATGCTTTAAATACTTGATGTAAACGCAGTCTTGAAAGTTTTACAACTAGTCAATGCTCTTGAATTAACAATCGAAAAAAAACTTTAGTAATCCTGAAAGATGGTATCTAATCTGCATTATTTTGGATGATTTTAAAACTTCATTTTTAGTTTAAATGTGCATGTATTTGAATGGTTTGTTTTCAATAATTGAAATTGCTAACACTTTTAGATACTATGAACCGATCAAGCTCGCCTACCGAGTGTTTGAAGCGGCCGGAGGAAGCAGTAAGGCACTGACTCCAGTCATCTTCATGCACGATATTTATAATTGCAAGGAAGTCTGGCATAGCATCCCTCAACTTGTAGCAGACAGAACTAAAAGAATGGTACAAATTATACGCTTTATAAATTTTCTTAGCTTGTTTATTTGGTAACATAAATCCTTTATTTGGTGGCGCAAATGTACCAGCGGGTCTGTCAAATGTTCTAGTGGTACAAAGCTACGAATCAATTTCCAAGAGTTAATTATTACAAAATTTGAGGATATTGCTAGCTTGAATATTAATGGCTAATACTTAAAATCGCTAATAGCACTTTAAAGACAATATGAATATGAATATACTTAAGTTTCTTTCCAACGAGTAAAGAAACCTTGTCGATGCACTTCATACTGCGGAAATTTTCATTCTACAATTATGGTAAAATAACAGTCAGCAGTCTGCTCATCCAATTAACCGTAAAGTTTACGGTAAGGAACATTTTTAACTTCATGGTTTTAAAACAGTTTATAACTAGTATGGTTAATAACAATGAACACACTCTATATGGTTTTTAACCATTTACAACTAGAAATGTTTTACAATTGTACAAGAAATTTAACTGGGCATTAGAGATAGTTAAGCAGCTGTACGGTGCTGCTATCTATATGTGAATGAGAGTATAGTATTTTAATAGCCCAGGGTCACAAATTGGGATGTGAAAGACATAGGAAATTCTTTGAAGAGAATTTAGGAAATATTGTGGTGTCAACGCTAGGAATCGAACCTCCGTTCTGTTGATCATGAGATTGAGAAATTTGCTTTCTCGGCTATATGCACCTAACTGAAAGGAACCAAATGGCTTCATTAGGTGGATCAAGTTGGTATGATAAAATTATGTTTGTTTAACCGTAATAGGGGAAAACAATTAATAAAGGCTTCTCACATTTAAGTTTGAATCAAATATTATGAGTTTTGAGCTTTGTTTGAATATGGTAAAGCAAAGTGTCTAACCATTCACTCTGATAGATTTTTACCACGCATGCTAATTTTCATCTTTACCGTACACTTTAGGTTCTGTTACTCATATGCCATAGCTCTAACTACGTGTAGTTGGTGACTGATGCACGTTAAAATTCTGTAGAGTCGCAAAGTCCCTCATGTTCCCATAACAAATCAATACTTCTGGGGGTACTGGATTGGAGATCGATCGTTCTCTGATTCAGGTCAAAATTACGATCTGTGGATGTATGAATGGGTCCGCCTTATAAACAGGCGCCACGTACGGTGTGGCGGAAGTCTAATTCTTGGACATAGATGGCGCCACTGAAAAACAAGAATCGCACACTCTGCCTTAAATTTGCTCGGCTTAACCAAGCAGGCTTGCCCGTCTGGCAAGTTGCATTAGAACCAACCAACCAACCAAACTACGTTAGGTACAGCAGCTCTAAATGTATCCTGCTCTATGTGCTCAATTAGAGAGCAAACTTATTAATGAAATTTATTAAACTAATTAAGCACGTAAAGTAATTTTCTCATTAAAAATGAAACTGCATTCCAGGTTTTTGCTTACGACGCAAGGAACCACGGCGAGAGCGAATACACAAGCGAATCAGATTTTAATCTCAATGTTCCTGATCTCTACACGTTTATGAGTCGAATGCAGATTGAAAGTTCCATTTTGGTTGGCCACTGCTTTGGAGGAATGACTGCCATTAGTGCTGCTCTTGAAGAGGTATGTTTAAGTGATGCAAACGTTTACATTTATGGTGTTATGTATAATTCTAAATGTATTTCCTCAATTCGCATAATATTTAATTTCAAAATCATACGGAGGCTTTTGAATCCTTTCAACCTTAAAGATTTTTATTTTCATTAAGTATGATAGTAAATGCTTGGAAATTTTGCTTTTATAGTTGTGTCTGGAGAACGGTCAAAACTGACACCTTTCTAAAAGTGCTGATTTTCAATTCTTCGTCATGATTACGCAAATCTAATTTTTTAAAATTTTAAAATTTCGTTAAAATTTTGCTCAAGAATTTTTTCAATCTTTATTTCATGAAGAGTTCTGCGTGCGTTTTGCCTGAAACCTTTGTAATAAATGGTGGTAGAATAATAAATGTGTTTTTAAATGGCTAGTTTTAGCTTAGTTTCCGGAGCGTCAAGTTTAAAAAACGTTAGGTGTTCAGAGCTTGTGAAATAAAATTTTTGATGATTAACTTTCTGCAACTGGATATGAAATGCGTGGCTAATTTGACCTGACGGAGATATTAATCACAGTATCATGGCTTGAAATTGGTACATGCTGGAGGACAGACAAAGGTGGAGGGCTGTGGAGTAATGCAGGCCAAATGCCTGTGGATTTGGTTTTCTACTGGTTTTACACTCCAGATAATCTCGTGATTTTTTTTTCCATCTTACTTGGAGAAATCACAACTTGTTATATTTTAAGTATATTCTCCCTTAAGTTTCCAGTAGAGTAGATTTTGAGTTTCGTTTAATTAAACATTACATTTAATTTAATAAGTATCTTAAACCTTTCCTCTCATTTTTAGTTTATTATTAGATTCAGCTTTTAGAATCGTCAATTTTTTCCTCACTTTCGTAATTTGCAAGAGTTTAGAGCAGCATTACTATCCGTACCTTTCGCCGTTAAACTTTTCATACATACGGAACATGTATTTGATTTATAATAAATGAAAACAATAGAATTTTAGCATAAGTTTAAGCAAAAGGGTGTTCAGACTGTTCCGTTGAGAATTCTGATACAGTTCACACTGATTAAACAACTTTCTAAATTTAAAGAAATTTGTAGAGTTACACAAGTCTGTAATATTTTTATTTTTTAAAAGAAATTGAAATTTTAATGTTTAGTTACCACAGTTAGATTTCTTTTCATATAGCCTAAAAAAGTAGAAAAGGCCTTTGTTTTGGACATGTCTGTTACCATTCCAAGATACGTAATAGAGAGTAAGATTTCAGAATTTAGCGTGTGGCCTGAAAAGTTCGATAAACTCTTCAAGATCACAAAGAATCCAGAAAAATTTATGGAGCTTCTCTTTGACAGCATGGCTCCAGTTTTATTCGGGAAGTTGGCTGAAAATCCAGTAAGTTTATACATTTTTCAATGTTCCTGTATCAATAAAAAAAAACTTTTCCTCTTGTAGTATGCTGTTACAGCCCTTAACATAAGCAGTCCTTTGACTTTGAAGTTTATTCAGTTATGCTAGAAAATAAATTTTCTTTGCACAATTAAGCATATACCAGGCTTTTTAACCAGTTTCATAAATTTTTAAAATTTTTTTTTTTTACCAATTGTAGTAAAATATCCTCTTTAAATTATCTTGACAGAGCAGTTATAGTACGAAGCAATACCGTATGAGTCTGTGAGCTTCATAATATTCAGAACATCAGAATATTTCATAAATTATGAAGTGTCACAGCATTTTTCCTATAAAGTTGTAATAAATACCTTGCATGTCGTCTTCCAACCGAAAATTAATCCCGGCTATTATAACTATGTACAAACTTAATACGACCGATTAATTTAAGGGCTTAACTTAAGAAAAATAAAATACAGATTTCTAACTTTTTCAATTTTATGTATAGAAATAACAAAAAACCCTCAAAAGTTTATCACTACTTCGATTCTTTTCAGTTCCGTTTTTAGGACCCGCTATTTTCTTTAGAAGTGCATTTTAACCGGAATCCTAAGTAAATTAGTCACAATCATCTTAAACGCAGGAAATAAGTCTGTGTGCGTACAGGAACTGCTTTAATTCTCCTATTTGTTTAATGTAAAAATGAATCTAAAATTTATAAAATTGCAAGAGTGAGTCACTGCATCTAATGTAATTAAATTACTAAAGGCTGCTTTAAATGTTTGGATATTGAATGATATCAGTCTGTTGCCGCGCTTGACTAAGTATCTTTCAAACTTTGCTGCTTATACTCAACCTCCAAATTACGTTAATATATTATAACTATATTTAGTTTCTTATCAGGCAAATGACATGCCAAATGGCACTAAAGTCACAGAGCTGAACCAGTAAGTTAACAGTTTAAGCACAAAACAAAACTTCATTTCGTTGGCAAATTTTTCGGCTAGAAATGATTTCATAGTCAGAATTTCTGAAAATTCTAACTGTTTGGCATAATATGTAGAAAGTGCCAAATATAGCTATCATTGTTTTTAAACTAAATTATTTCCAATAACCGTAAATCTGAAATAATTTTAGATAGAATACTTTGAAAAGTTTCGATTTAATTTTAAAGTTAGATTAAACAATACAAAAGATTCCGCCGATGAAAGATTTTCTCTATCACTCTCTGTGCAATCAATATTTTTTTATAAGAACTTTTTAAGTTTCTTTTTGGTTAATTTTACTTTTCAGAGGAAATGACTGAAATTCTGATTTTTTTAAAAAAAAATCAAAGTTTATTTTTGTTAAATTTACAAACAAAATCTTCTGAAATTACATTAACTGTATTTAATATTTAAAACAATATAGCTAAAATAGATAATACTTCAAACTAAAATTTTTCAAATTACTTAATTAACCAATTTCCAAAATTGTTTTTGTTAAAGCTAAACATCCTAAAATTTTAAAGGAATTTGTCAGATACTAAATGAAGAGTAAATTAGTTTTGATCAGAATTAGTGAAGAAAGTGAATTAATGAAAAGTGTTTTAAATCATGCAAACCCTGGCTCTCAGTCAATCTGTCTAGTAGGCGTATGTCACAACCCCTAGTCTTATCTAGCATAGATGGTAATCTATATACTTCATTCTTGAATTTGCTTATAATTTATTCTAAAATTTTTTGAAGATAAAGCGGAAGAATACTCTTTTGAACAATTTATCACAAAACTTTACGTATGTTATTAAATAGTTTTTGCTAAAATTTTCAGGAATTCACTAAAGCAAAAAAAGACTATTTGATATCACATCTATGCAAAAAGTTGCCAGATGGAACATATGGATTGAACTTCAATTACAGGACTCTTCAGGACGCCTTGAAAATATACCATAGAAATCCCGTTATAAACTGCGGCATGTATCATGGACCAGCCTATTTTATGTTTGGTACCTATGCCTTATTTAAAGCGTGAGTATTTTCAATTTTAAAAGCTTTTTGATTTTCATTTTCAAACTTTTAAGAAACTTTTTCCTAAACCTTACTGGTAACACGTGACAACGCCGTTTTCCCTTCTCGACCTATCTCATACCAGAGAGCTTTTCAGACTCCAGCAGTCCGTGATCTCATGAATGTGATTTCTAATTGGAACGTTTTATTTAAATTTTTAACGATACTAAATGGTGGCTGAAGCCAGCTAATTCGAATGATGTTCTTCAGGCGTTTAAACTTCGATGTACTTTGTGCTCAGAGTACTTTTATTTGACCCAGGGTATTTAAGCAAATGCACATGTTCGGCTATTCAGAGACGTTTAGTGAATCTAGCACTTGAATTACTCTGCTCTGGACTTGTGCTTATATTTAGACTGCGTGGAAAAAAGATAGAATGATTAATGGGTGTAGATTTGACGTTTGCGGTCTGCTAAATGCATTTTGTATGTTTTTGGCCAAATTTGCAGTTTTTAAAAAATACCTGGTACTATTTTTATAGTATATTTAAGTACTACGAATGATAAAAAAAACTGCAATTTCTGGTGTATTTGATTGCAGTGAATTTAAATGAAGTTAGGCTTAATGGGAGAAAATTTCCCGCTCCCGTGCGTAAGTATTATCTGGAAGCGTGTGGATCTGGGGAAAGCGTTTCTCTCCTGTAGCAGGGCTTTAAGATATTAATGGTGGAGGAGAGAGAAACTTTATAAAACGTGTTCAACAGGATAATTTTCCCGAACAGAGTTACTCTCTGAAGGTTAATTTTTCAACACTGGATTGCCTACTTTGTCGTGTTTCAACAAACTCGGTGAGAAATTTTTAAATGTTCGATAATTATAATTTCATTAATTACTGATTTTAATGAAGTTAAGTGCATTTTTACTTCTGTGTTATGTTTTATGATTTGTCCCCGTCGAAACATATCGGATATACTGATTTAACATTAGGCAATGACTATCTAATCATACCTGAAAAAACTAGTTAATGATAAACTAGTCTTCAACTTATTAAATCAGTTATTTTTCTAAAAATTTGCTTTGAATTATACATAAACTTTTAAATTATATCAGTGAAGATACTAAAGTAAATATTCTTAAAAATAGTTTTCGACGTGATGTCAAAGGTGTATTTAAACTTTTTATTTTTCCTTGGAACCTCTCATAGATTTTGTTAAGTTAAATTTACGCTAATTTACTTTCTCTAATTTGGGAAAAGTTAAAATGCTGGCCGTCGAAAGTTCAGACCGTTTAATGTTAACTTTACATTTGGCACTTTTTGCCATTTCTAGTTTTTTTGAGCGAATTGAAAATTTTGGTACAAATTATAAAAAACTGTTAATTTAAAGATAATTAACTCCATGCAAAAAGTTTTTATTTTACTTAATGGTTGAAAAACTTTTTGAATTGTAAGACCTACAATTTTTTAGATAATTTTAAAAATGTAATTTTAAATTGTAAAATGCAAAATTAATATTAAAGAGTGCAAACTTTCTACTGATCAAACCATTGGGACCGTATTTTTTGGGGTCATGAATTCTCATAAGTCGAAAAGATTTATTCAGAGAAAGAAAGTTTTTATCTTAACGTATATCTAATAACGTAAAATATAGTCTGTATTACTTAGCATATTTAAAGGTACCCCTTCGAACCATTAAGGAAGTCTTATGCTATAATACCATGAAAACGAAAGTTATTCAGGTTTTTGCGGCATTAACTTTGCGCACTGTATCTTCTATGTTAATTCCCTTCCCTATCAGTCTGGAGCAGAAGCGGGGACTATGGTTATGTTTAACCATTTCTAGTAGGGGAGTTTGGTCAGCATTTAAGGCAGGTTATGGCTCTGGTTGGCGAGAGAAAAGGAGCTCTCTTCTTTGAGATACGGTATGTATTGTGTCCGTAGAATCAGACTGTCTTAGACTTTGGAGAGGAGAGCTCTTTCTGTAGACAAACTATACTTTTATATTCTTTCTAGATTTTCATTAACTCTCTCATTTATTTTTTCTTTTAAATCTCCTAATTGCAGGGAGGCTGAGGAAGTTGAAATCAAGAAGCATTTTCCTAGAGCAGAAGTGGAAGAGGTTAGAGCAGCCACAAGTAACTTCTTCACGGATAATCCAAAGGCGTTTGCTGATTACCTTATTAGGAATATGTAACAATGTAGCTCAACAAGCATTCAGAATTTTTTAGTCTTAGATGAAGTGTTGACTAATTGTAAATTCTAACAAATAAAACTTAGTGAAAATATTAATCTTTCCTTTTATTGCCTTTTTGGCTGTAAGCCGAATTCTGAGTATTACGTAGGTGTATTACGACAGGTGCTTTCGCGCATCTCCAGTTAATTTATTTTCTCTAAATTTATAATTTTCTCTTCAGACAAAGAGGAAAAAGTTCTCTCTTAACTATTTCCATTTGAAATGTCACAAATCTTCTTTTTCTTGAAGTTTTTACACCAGATTATGAGACAATTCTAGAAAAGACAATCTTTAATATCGACTTTTTGGTTAAGGATGAAAAAGCTCTTAAGCGACTTAAGATTTTAACGTTTTAGTGTCGGCTAAATGCACTCCATCATTAAACATTTTAGCTTTTCCTATAATCGTTTTTATCAGTTTACTGAGATAAAACATGACATCTACCAGTAAACGTTCAATCACCATCGAGGACAATATAAAGATTACTAAACTATTTACAGACTGATCAAAATTTCAGAATAACGTTGCATCTGCAGTCGTAACTGATCATTCTGTAACTGGAAAATTTTATCTATACATTCTTTTACCCTGAACCTTCGGTCATGTTAGAATCCCAGGAAATAAAAAGGCGGATAAAATGGCAAAATATAGTAAAAACTTTCCAACCGACCAACAGCTTGTGCAGGTGTTAAAAATGCTATAAATAGTTCATTAGCTAAGACATGTGAGGCAACATGGAATAAAGATATTAATAATAAACTGTTTCAAATAAAACAATCAATAATCCCTCTTAGACCATTAAATATGCCTAGAAAATTAGAAGTCATTACAAATTGATAACTAATTGGAGCAACACTTTCTTAGAAAGAAGGCCTCAGCAAGGATCAATTTAGTAGTCTTATGTACAAACATAAACTGCGCAGGGGAGGTTATACGAAAGATGCCACGAAGTACCGGCTACTGAGCTACGCATTAGGGAAAAATATCATTACGTTTGTATTACTAAAAGATCAAATTTTTTGCTTATGGTAACCCGTGCCGAGGCCTTCTCTCATCTGGGAGATATTTATTGGACACAGGTTTCACCAACAAACATTTATTTGCTGAACCAAACCCCATATGAAAGTGACAAGGACCTTTAATAGTAAAATATATTAAACCCAGTGTATTAAATACAAAAAAGCTTTAACGGTACTTCAACCATGAATTTCCAACTTTACAGGCTTTAATTTGGGATACTCCTCACAAACTCCTAAATTTACTTAAATTTTAAACAAAATTTAAATTTTGTATAAAATTTACGAAATTTTTATATTTTAATTGTTATATAAAATCTAGAAAAATTTTATATTTTATATTAGGGAGATAGGTTTTTACTTTAAGATTTAAATCTATTTTTTTCTTCTGAGATTACTTTTACCAAGGATGAAGCATAATATGGCTCTTGTGTTAGAAATAATAGCTAACTCAACAGAGTCCTTGAACAACTCCTTTTGTCTTAATTTCTCATTTGAGTATGACTCTTATAAGTCGGGAACAACGAAATCTGTAACTTAAGGATTTCTTCAACAAACGAAACCTACTAACATTTGTTTGTTACCCGTTAACAAAAATCTGTTAAAAATGTTAACTAATGTTTGTTTTTAAAGATTGTTTTAATTTTTGAAGTCTTTATGTATAATTGAATTATATGGCAGCATGTTTTAAAATGGAATGAAAGCAGAAAGAAAAAAAATACCAGTTAACCTGCTTAAAAAAAACCTCGTAGTCAGCTCGTTACTCAATTTTGATGAGTAACAAAACTGTTTAACCCTTTGACGCAGATAGGACACCGGTACTCTTTTTGTATATCATATTTTAGATGCTCTAATTACAAGAAAAAATTTATTTTAGCATTTTCTTAATTATAAAAAACTAATAGTAAAAAATTTGTTAGATTATCGGAATCACATTTGTACTAAAACATAAAGTCCAAAAAAGTAGATTTAAATTTTTGTTTCTCATTGATATTCAAAAATGAATCAATAATTGATTTCTGTGAATGAAAGAAATTTCAATGATGAATAACTGTTTCTTTTAAATCTAAATAACTGCAAATTTGAAAAAAATGTTTAGATGTGAGCCGTGTTTAGAAGAGCTTCAACATAGTGAAAAGCACTGACGTTTCATGTTGTATTTCATAACCATAAATTATTAATAAGCTAAATACATTATTTTTAACTTGTTTTTGACCTTTTTTTATCACAAATTAATGAAAAAAAGTATAAAAAATATGTTTAATAAAGGGTTAATAGTTTGAGTTAGTTCAAATCTAGATTCTGCTATAACCGTGGTTATGTCTTGATTGATAAATATTTTAAGAAAAAGTTACCTTCCCACTAAAACTCAGCGATTCACCAAACCATTAAACAACAAAATTTCTTCTATAAAGGCTTTGTAATAAAATTTACTTTACCGTCAAAAAAGGAAATTTATCGACAGTAAAATTGTCGTACGAGTTTCTGTACATAAAATGTGTAATCGACATTGAGCCATTATTACGTATTTAATGGTAAATAAAATTTTGGAGTCGTTCCGTTAATAAAAAGTTACTCCTTTTTGAGGTGTAATGTTTAGTTGTTTCAGCTGAGGAGCTTTATAGCCGAAAGGATACAGACAAGTAATTCTTGTCGAGTTTCAAGAAAATGTTAAAAAGAATTTTCTTACTTTGTTTACGCTCTGGTGCATTAAATTTTTTAAAACTTTGGCCTTTATTGGCAACAATATTTTATATTGAACAGTTATTGAGATAGAAAACTAGTATATGTTTTGTTTCCAGGATTAGTCCAGGTTTAGGGTCTGTATAAATTATATACTATACGGAAAGTTGAGTGTTAAAGAAGAAAAAGCATGCACATTAAAGATTGGCGGCGTAAAATGTTTCATTTGTTATGTCTTTCTTTGTTATTTTATTTCGATGAAAAATTCTATTTATTGTATAAATTTAAAACCTATGATTTATTACCAAGATTTAGAATTGGAGCATTTTTATTCTTTATCTGGTTAAAGACTTTTTTTAAAATTATTTCTATAGTTATAACGACTGTCAAATATGTTTTAACGGCTCCATAGAAGTTAATTTTAAATAAAATAAAAATAAATGTATTGATAGGATTTTTGTATTTTCAAGGATTGGCAAAGTTTGATTTGAAAAAAGTAAATTTAAATTATTGCCAGGGGATCGCTTTAACGTTTGTTCAAAAAATTTAGGATTTTTTCAAATTAAATGCGTGGTTCAATGCATTTTTGCTGTATTTAGTAACTCCAGAGTTAATTGTTTTTAAACTTAGAAGTCTAGTTATAAAATTCACATTGCTTTTTTTGACTTTAACTGAATATATCTTTAGCTACAAAAGTTATTTTCCCCTAAAAATAGAAAAAAACCCTATTTGGTGTGTTAATGAGACAGAATTTTTTAGGAGGATTTTTAAAATTTTTATTTTATTTTACAGGGTTATTCAAAATTTCCTCCGGGATTTATAGTAAGAAAGCGAAAACGAATATGGTAAAAAGAACATATCAAATTATTCCAAAAGTACTCAAGTTTTAATTTAAGCAGTTGCCGGTAGATGGCAGTAACATGTGCCACTGAAGTCAGTTGTAGTAAAGAAAAATGGCGTTTACAGGCGGAGGGAATTATGAATAACCCTGTATATATGTTTTTTTAACACAAAAAAATCCCTACAAAATGTCCACATTGACCCACCTTTATACTTTTAGGGTTTATATAACTTCCATTTATGCTAGTTCCACGTAGTAACAAAATACGGACGGCATCGTTTGACTTTTAAAATTGAAAATTTGAAGTTAAGCGAAATCGTTCACGATTAAAAGTTTAGAATCCATGTTCACCCAAACGATAGAAAAATTTAAATTCTGAATAAAAGAAGTATAAAGAAATATTCGATTTTCAGCGTTCCATTAAGGAAACTTAGTTGTTATTCTCACTTAACTTTAAATTATAGTTGACAAGTTCGGTTACAGCCCTGTATATAATTCACAAAACAGTACTTTTTCTGTATGTCAGATTATTTCTACTGAAATTTTTGCAAGGGTGTCTGTTAGTTTGTTTTTTAACTATGCCACGTTGTTTTAGCAAGTAAAGGTAATTTTATAAACAATTTGTAGTTCTTCTCAGTTATCAGTGCAATCTGCTTGCGAATTGTATAAATAAATTCGAAAAAAAAAACCCCACTAGTTTCCTGAGCAGAACGCAATAAAATGTAAATTTCTGTCTCCTCCCCTTTTCTCATTAATAGATTTTTCGAATTTCGGACAATTTTGGTACATCCAGTCAATTCTGAAATATTAACAGCAAGAAAGGTAATGCTATTAGGGATGAAAAAAATGTTATGCAAATGCATAGATGTTATGAATATCAAAATCACATTGCACTGAGAAAAATTTAATCATAATTTTAAGTTCATTTCGTACATTTAGTTCATTTAGTTATCACTTTATGATCCATTGATTCGTATTGTAATTTTATCAATCTTCAACGTCCTTTTGCTACTTTAAGAAATATTAAATGTATTTATTATAATTTTTCGCAGCTATTTTAGTTTAACCTCCATTTTATTACTACTTTACTAACTTTTTATTACTCTCTTGTGGCTCAGTGCTATTTTCTCAGAAAATAAATAAATATTTGATGCTCTGATTTATTTCGCTTAACGAGATTCCTATGATTATACAAAATTTATAGAAAGTTCATCAAATTATTCCTTGCCACATTTTTAACTTAAATTTTTATTTTTAATTTCTTTGCTCTTCATTACTCTTATGATGTATCAATTACATTTGCTTCGAAAATAAATCTTTAGAAGTTATGTTGGCTTATTTTATTTGCTGATCATCACTATCAAGAAAAATAAAATGCCTAAATCTATTTCTAATTAAATTTCTTTTTTTATTTTTATTTAAATCTTACTATGCTTTTATTATCCTTTTAATGTTTATTTTCATTAATAAAGATACATAAAATATTAATTGATTCTTTGGCTTATACTGTGTACTT